CCCCAAAACCCCAAAACCCCAAAACCCCTTTTAGCTTAAAAATAATTGCAATCTATTAATTTTTATTGAATATGGAAGGTACTTTATCCAAGTCTCTGTCGAAGCCAATTCTACACAGAGGAAAATATGGCAAAAGGTTGAAGCTCAAAGGAATCAGGAGTATTTCCCAAACTCCCGCCAAATTTATGAAAAGGCGTATTGCAACTCAAAGGAATGTCTTCCATCATCCGAGGTTGTAAGTTACTTAAATTTCAGGATAAAAATAAATAACCATATTAAGCGTAAATTTCAGATTATTATGAGCGATAAGTTGTAACAATTCATATAGGAACAAAACTTCAACTACCCCATTGATGGTCAAAACTCCAGTGAAAAGACTCAGAGCAGGTTTGTTACTCAAATATCATCCCTAACATTTTATAGCATCGTGCATGGAGTCTCCTGTGAAGCCAATGTATAAGAAGTCAATAGAGGACATGAAGTAATCTCTTTGTCTCATCCATAGATCATTGAGCCTCAAAGAAGCTCCTTTACAGTAAGCATACCTTTCAATAGCCTAGAATATACAAAAAGAAGAAGGGGTGCTGACTAACCAACGATAACATCATTAAATTATACATTGCTAGGAATAAAGATCTTGGTAAGGATTTGCTAAACTTTAGGCTATAAAAATTTCATGCCTAGTCAGATCAACCTGACCAAATTCCAGAGATACTGTTATACCTATAGCTATGGTAGAAGAATTTGATTCCAGAAATGAGGCTTTGGTCTTAATTGTGCCTTTGAGATTAGCCGTATCATACTAGCAACTCCAAATATCAGCAGATTGGTACGCCTAAGGTGTAATTTTAGAACTTGACAGGGAACAGATTGGGCAATAGTGGAGTGATAGCACTATCAAATGCAATTGCTAAGAATAAGAGCATCATATCTCTCAATCTCTCTAGCAATGAGATCAGAGCAGAAGGTGCAAAAGTTTTGCTCAAAAGCATTGAAGGCAATAATTCTATTATCGAGCTGAACATCTCCTCAATAGGAATGGATACAAAGAATAGGATTAGAGCGTTAGGGATCAAGCCATTTACCTCCTTATTGCAGAACAATAAAATTATGACCTTCTTGAACGTATCTGGAAACAATATTGGAAAAGAAGGGCTCGATTACATTATCCAAGGCTTAAAGCATAACAGGAGTCTCTTATCGCTGAAGATCAGTAAGAATAGTCTTAGTGGAGAGTGCATGACAGAACTATTTGAGACAATACAGCATACTGCAATCATTGAATTAGATATCAGTGGGAACCCTATAGGCAATTTAAGAGCACCTGAGTACACTGAGGAATTAATGATGTGAACAAAGATACAGTCATTGAATATCTCAGATTGCAATTTGACTAATCACGGGCTTGATTGCTTCTTTAAAAACCTCTCACACAAGGAAGGAAATCTGAACACATTTATAGCTGATAAGGTAAATTTGATTTCCATGATTTTCTAGAATGATTTCAAGAGCTGATTCTCACAAAAGTTAATTAGATTCCTATCGTAAGCCAGTTTGTAACTCTGCAGATCAAACAAAGCGTTAAAATAAGATTAGCTTAGCTGGCTGCAACCTTGGATCAGATGGAGTTAAGAGTTTTTGCTGAGGAGCTGTAAATAATCTCAAAATCAAAGAAATAAACCTTGCTAGAAATATGATCTCAGATAGTGTAGTTTACCATATACTCAAACCTCTACTCATGAGAGGATGATTACTTGAAAGTCTAGACCTTAGTGACAATGATATCGGTGATAATGGAGGTCTCTTACTTGCAGAAGTAATAGAAGAGAACCGGATTATCAAGAAAATCAACATCAAGAATAACTTGATTCAGATAGAAGGAGGAAAAGCGATCAGGAATGCTCTATTCAATCGTCAGAGATGCAACCTGATCATGCTTAACCTCGCTCTAAACCCTATAGACATGAAGTTATCCCAAGAAATAGAGGATATGATCTACGGTACACTTCCAGTTAACCTTCAGACAACAAAATCAAGAGCAAGAAGGATACCACAAGTTTGAAATACGAAAAGATGGATTATCGAAATGATGAAGAGATTTTAAAATAAGACCTTAAAAGGTAACTCTTACTTTAATCCTTAGAAATTGAACGTCGAAAACGTAAGTCACCCGCTCACCTATCCAGGTGACTCAGTTGCTGAGCAACAAAGGATTAACCAATATAAGATTCAATCAGTGAAGGAGAAAGACAAGCTTGTTGAAGAAGAAAAGCTGCTTAAAAAAGATGAATTAAAGTAAATCTAGGTTAAATATCCTAACATTTAGACAGAAAATGGCCTCTGCAGTGGTCAACCACAGATTACAGGATGTTAATGAACGATATGCTGTGAGAGTGCTAATTTAAAAATTTAGAAATCTCATAATAGCCTAGTAAAGGCTATATCTAGGTATGAAGGATCAGCGAAACATATTGCCAGCGGAGTAAGTCAAGGAGACATTTGGGGGTGTTTTAGACCAGAAATTTGGGCTTAACGGAGTGTATGAAGGGTAGAAGGATTTTAGAGTTTTGGAATTTACTGAAAATGTATTTAGAATAGAGAAATAGGTAAGATTTTCAAGTAATCTTTAGAGGAAAAGCTAAAACTGAAACAAAGTAAGCTATCAACCTAAAAGTAGCCGAGCTGGATTACGAAAATGAGAGACATGAATGTTCAGTTAAAGCTCTTTCTAAAGAACTGTCTAAATGTGAATATAAGTTAGAAAAAGCTAAGGAGGCATATGAAATGATTATTGAGAGAGCTGGAATTGGTAAACTATAAAAACCACAATTTTACTAAATCTCCTTTCTAGAAGCTACAGGAGGGTATGTAGAAGGAATTAAATACGAGAAAGTGTACAGAACATTAAAGAAGTATAGTTTATTGTTAATTGATATCAAGAAAATAACATAGCACTTGCAAAGGCCATCGGAAAAATTCAACCAAAGTTAAAGAAAACAAATACAAGAAGTAAACTATTATACAATTTTTATAGGCTCTTTAGGGTCATCGAAGCTCAATTAGCAGTGGAAGTTCTAGCAGAATGTAAGGTATATTTTTTACCCATAGGAGTCTCTCAAGCCAAGGTAGCTCCAGATCCAGGAAGAAGGTATGCTCCTGCTTATAACATACAGAAGAAGAAGAAAATAAAGTCTTTGAAGAAGTCAAAGTTTATGAATAGCAATGCAAGTTTGAAGAAGTTTAAAAATGTTTAAAATATGCGTTTACAATGTAAGATATTCTTCCTGGGGTTTTGGGGTTTTGGGGTTTTGGGG